TAAATGAAAATCCCTATTTCGTCACCATTGTAGACTTTAATTGAATAGTTATCCATAAATGTGGATTTTATTTAGGGATGAATTCAGGGAACCTGATTTGTGGTAAATGATAGACATTCTTATCATCTATGAAAAGCTCACATATAGATAATTGTAAATGAATTTGTCTTTGTTCAAATGAATTTGCAATGAAGAGCTACATAAGTTTCAGAAATGGTTGTCAATGCTTCACGAAGTATCATCGTTAGGTATTATAAAATCAAGTAGAATATGCTTTTTTTATTCGACCCGTCTCTAAACTGAGCAAAAAATAGAATTGAAAAATGTGACTCACTACGGAAATGGATAATGCGTTGTCGAAGAGTTAAATATTTGACTTGAAAATAAAACTAAACTTCACCTGATATCGATGATAGGTGTCAGTGATAGCGTTTATTCGTGTGCAGACATTGCGAAGTGATAGAAGAATGGTTAATTCATCGAGGTTATCTAATATACAGTAGAATAATTCGATAGGTAATGTGTCCAGAGATGGAGTAACGTTGTTCGACATCAAGATTTTTTTGTATGTTATAAAGCGACTTTTGATAAAAGATATATGTGTTGAAATTGTGTCTTATCTTGTAAGTTAATCTCGATATGTCGTGTATCATAAATTTCTTATGCTTTTGTGTTGATTTAGATAACTGTTAAATGTAACGAACAATCAAATAACAAGCTTCGGATGAAGAAGCTGCAAATTACCAAGTAATGTGAAAGCCTTGCATTAGTTTGATGTTCATTCTCGTGTTGCGTGCAAACATCGTAGAGGTTTTATTTTTCTTCTGGATGAAAAAAAATAAGAGAAAAGAAAAGCATTACCGATGATCTGCAGGCCGTATGAGAATGAAAATAAAATTAATGCAAAACTTTTACATCACCCGTTACGTGCCTTCAACAAAGAAAAAAAACCACAAGACAAAACTTTTCGAGGAAACAAAAAAAAATAGATGGAATTTGTGGCCACAGTCATCGAGAAAAATATTAATATTCTCAAATACTATAGTATGACATTATATTTAAAAAGAACTTCCATTTAAATGAAAAGTCATTTTTAATAAGAACTAAGTAAAATTCTAACTGAAAAGATTTTATAAGACTTTTTAATCGCTATCCCTACCGTCTTATATCAAATGAAAGACTACGTTATTCATATAGACAGAACAAAAAAAAGATCCTTTTTTTTTACTTCAACTTGTGGGCGATATGGTCCTCTAGCACTCCGATAAATATTAAGTCTTTTGTTTTTGTCTTTACGACTTTATAGTTAAAATGTGGCTCTCATACCATCCTGCAATATCTCGAAAAACTATCTTCAGACTATTAAGCATGGTTAGTGTGACTCTTCAATCTTTGTAACGACAAGAGCAAACATCATCGTTGTTTTTACCATTAAAAGCTCTTTTGGTTACTACAAAATTTATTGATTACAACCAACTGTACAGTGGGAAAGACATCTAAAAATAACAAACACTGTCATCATTACTAGCTCAATAATCTCGTATCTGGAAAGACACATTTTCAGAACAAGAGAATAAGAACATAATCTAATTTGCATTATATTTTATGACAAGTAATGCATATGTGAAACGAGTAATGTACATGATGATTCGTTGAGGTATTTTTCTTACTAGTCAGTGGGAGGGTCTAAAGGTAACACGTGATTTTTTTCGCAAAGCAAGTAGTATATCTATGCGTTGTGGAAAAAAAAAGATATTCGGTTATATACGTTATTCCGTAATAATAATACTTCACACACTGCTCAAAAAATGGAAATGATAGACGCTGATTCATTTCTTTATACTGATGAATCTCGAAGTAAATATTATCAATAGAAGAGTTTAGCACAACGGTTTTGCAATATTTTTGTTATTCAGAAAATGTTTAAGGCCCCACCCACTCAAAAACCGATCTCAGCCCAGATACATTCGAATGGGCTGAAATTTGGAGCATATCTTGGGACTGTAGTGAAGCGGCTATGGTAAAATCTTCAGCTCGATACTATGACGTTTGACAGAGATATGAACCAAACAAGGGACAAAAATTGCTCATTTTCAGACAAGGATTTTTCGGTCTAGGCTCTATCAATATGTTTATTTTTTTTTCTTGTTTGAAAGAGCATCTCAGGATGCAGGACACCACAGAGTCCTTTTGTGAAACACGATCTGAAAGGAGTGTTGAAGTGTTTAGGGGTAGAAATTTGCA